AATGATCAGAATTCTCATGGTTACTTGATGGCATTTCTGTAGCCTCTTTGTGTTACTGTTCTCAGCGTCATGAATTTATTATGTTCTTGAAACGATAGACACGTAGAGACATGTTGATGTTGTTTCTGGCTATAAAGCTAGAATGTTGCCACAAATACTAGTCATGCACTTTGCCTGTGTAAACAATATAAAAAGATAGATGGATGGATGGATTGATAGACATTTGTATTTATTGCAAAGACAGGTTAATGGTTTCACAGGTAATACAATTTTGGTTGGAATGAATGAAATAATAACTGACAGGTTTTCTTTCTTGGCCATTTATTTAATTTTGATGCACCTTGGAGCCTTGTATGGGTGATTCTATTTTTAATTAGTGAATATAAATAAATGGGGTAGCTATTGAGGTCTGTGATGACAATGACCCCTAAAACATTCCTGTATGTTACAGTAAACTGTGCTAATGCTGGCCCAGTTACTGGGGAGCCAGTGAACTCTTCCAGTCTTTGCAGTGATTAATACAATGGCACGGTTTTCACTAGAGCTTGGACTTTCCAGGTGTGGTGCATGGTAGGCATGATTTTCACACAGCTTTGACATTTATGAGTGAGACTTTTGCCATGTACCTAATGGGGTTACCCGCATGTAACTTCAGGTATCTAAAATGCAAAATCAGAAAATTGTAGATAGCTTTTTATTTCCTACACACCAGACTGGCCTGCCTCTTCAGTAGGAAGTTGTTCTTACCAGATGCATCCTTTAGTTACTGAATCACATAGTTCAAAATGGAGTTGTCTTCATACTATTCATCATGGAAATTGTAAACTTAAATGTCCACTGAGCAGAGTGTCTGTGCAAAATGTTTTGGGTGGATGTTGCTTTTGCTTTCAGCAGAAGGCTGAAAGAAGAACACAAGTGGACTGTTAAACAGAACGTCTCACTAAAGCCAGGAAACAGGTTATCAACACTTAGGCTGTTCTTATTGTGTCCCTTATCATAATTGACAGTTTGACGTAAAACTGTGTCACATGACCACCAGGGAGGTATGTAAATGGATAAGAGGTCACCTTTCACATATGCTTGCTGGAAAGGAAACACATTTAAAGGAAGTTTCGGTCAGAACAATGACAATATGCAAATGTTAAATTTTATGGGCTTTTCTCAACTAACAGAAGCTATGGCACAGTCTTCTATTACACTTTCCAAAATATGTGTCTACTTTCACTAGCAATCACAGGAGCTTGAATTAGACTTAGACAGCCACTCTTAAAATAGGAGAATACAAAACCTGCTTAAATATTAACCTGTAAAGAATATTCAGACTATGGTTGAAGATTGAGCTGTTGACCACAGGTTTTTAACAGATTTGCATACTTAAAACTCTGAGGGATGGTTGCCCTTGGAAAGTGCCCACTTTAAACTGAAAAGGCAGCTATGGTGAAATCTAGCTCTTGGGTAGAACTTTGCACCACTATATCTCACCGCACTGGAAAGTGCAAACCAAAGCCACTTTCCTGGCATTTTAGGGAGGGCAGAGCAAGAGCAGGGAGGTGGATGAGTTAGGATAAGCACTTGGGTCTACTCCTCTCCTTCCACCTGGGCCTGTGGCCCCTTCCCATGATGCAGCTGAGGTGGGTGACGGAGTTGCCCTGACCCCCTGGAGAAACACTTGCAGTGGGCTTTGTGGTCTCTACTCCTTCATGAGTGTAGCAGCGAGGATGTATCACTGGCATGAGAGACCCCTGCGGCTCCACATGTCAGGAAATGGCTGGGCTGCCTGTGAGGTTTCCCCATCTGCTGCGAGGCTGGGCATGATTTTGCACCTCAGAATATGTACCCATGTTCTTCTTCTGTGTGGTTAAGTGAGAGATAAATAAAAAAATCATTGGTAATGTTTCATGGATGGAAGATGTTATTGAAGTGGGGTTCCTGTGGCTTACCTTGCTGAAAACAACAAAGCCATGGGACTGAAGAGCAGGCCTGTCCAACAGGCTTTTAGGAAAGACTTCACCATGTCACATGACAAATCAGGTTTTCTATTTTGCATTCATAGCATATTTCTGAGAAAGTTAGTAATGTTTTTCAGCATTTCTTAAATGTCTCATGAGGACTATTTCTTAAGTCCCTTTACTGAGGAATTTAAGTTTCTCAAGTAGCCTTCGAGTAGTTTCCTGCCTCTCCCTTTCACATATCCTGCAGAGAAACTCTTTGGGTGGCTTACTGTGGGTGAGAGTGAATGTGCCTTCTCGTATCCAGCTAACACTGTGGCATGATTCTAGAGGTCACTTAAGTTTCTCTGAGGGCTGTAACTAGCCAGAAAGCTTTCAGCATGACTCCAGACTGCATATAGCACTCAAAATGTGGTACTAAAGTGCCCTACATACTTTCAAAGCTTGGTACTTATGTCAGGTCTGTGCCACCAGGCTTCCTCAACTGGGCTGTCTGGACATCCTGCAAGGGCAGCGTTCCTGCTGTTGCTGTGAACAAATGTCTTCTTCCATGAAGTGGAGCCAGGGCTCATAGAGCTCTTTCAAGCTTCTCCAGCCTTCTTACCCAGAAAGCACTCAACACACGAGAGGGGTGCAGATGCAGACTTTGAAAGTGGTATTTCTACATACTTTCAAAAGTATATTTGTAAATTTTAGACATCCTGATCTCTAAGCAGGAATGATTTGGGAGAGGAAATTTTATGTGAGGGAGGGAAAAAAAAAATTTGTGGAAGAGTTAGTTTTTAAAGACAACATGGCAGCTATGTAAGCGGGCTGAGGAGAGTGGAGCAATAGTTTTTAACATTGGGAAGGTGGTTTTCAGCACCGCTGATGTAGTCCTGGGTGTACCACAGCACCCATTGTCATACAGACATGCTGTTCTTCAAGGTGTTGTCAGTACTGCAGGTATGGCACAGTTGATGCAGTGAATAGCACTGCAGTTTACAATAACTTTAAGTTTGGTGTAGCATGAGTCTTAGTATATGTGTGTGTGTATGTGTCTGCAGCATATATATAAAATGCACATGTTCTATTGTTACCATTACAGTATTTAGTTCTATATGTATCGAGGTATGTATAACTGTATATAATATGAAATATATCATTACTAACATTTATGAAACAGGTTTGAAAAGCTCTTTTTGGAGCTTTCTTAATGATAACTGTACCACATTAACTGTACATGTCAAAGTTTTCATACAGACTGTGGGAAGAATATAAGGAAGAACATATCAATCCCTTACTGTTTTCCTCAAATGGCAAATGCAATCAGGTTCTATAGCAAGCTAAGTGCTTGCCAGATTTTTGAGCCAGACCTGAGTGCATAAAATCGTTTGGTAACACTAAGTTTGTTATTTTAGTATTTTTTTTATGTTTCTAATCAGACAAAGGGCTTTTATTCATAGATTTTATATTTTGTGAAAGCCGAAAAGAGGAGAGGTTTAACCTTTCAGTCTTGTGTTTCAGCTGGAAGTGAGTTTTTATAGCTAAGTTATAAAGCTTTAAAATACGCATCTGTAATGAAGATGATGGCATTCTTAAGGAATACAGCAGAAATACATCTACTGTACATTGAGTAACTGAACTGACATATTTTACTATCTTCAATATTAAAATCAAGTTTACAATACTGTTTTGTATAGTGATGAAACCAAATATTTACTTACCCTTTTCTTTAAACATATTTAATGTATTATTCACAGTTACCTCTAGCAAACTTTTTGACTGCATGTTTCCTTTTCTGGTTAATTTCATGTGGTTTAATCATGCTTTTAATGGCCTTTAGTAGGTCCCTTGGAGTTCTTTAGATAACAAACAAGAAACAATCCTTATGAAAACATCAGAGACTAACATTTCCATTTCTCAGACCTTAACAGCAGGAAGCTTATGAGTCTAACAGCCAGACAGGGTCAGGTTTGCAATATTCTCTTGTCCTCGGCATTTGTATTTTTCAGAAAAAGACTGCAATTATTTGTGCTCCTGTGAAAATAGTTGATTGTAGTTTGTTTGCAGTAGCCTGTGCTATCTAAAGACCGTGAATACAGTTAGAGAAAACTAAAATGCATCAAATGCAATTAAACTCTGCACCAACATTATCTTCAATATAGAACGCTGTATCATATATAATGGTAAACCATTTCATATACAGCATAACTATACAGGGGTTAAAATGTATGTTTTCTTCACAAGCCAGATAGGTTCACTTTCTTAAACTTAAAAATAAGCAGTATATCTTTTCAATAAATCTGCTAACACTACAGGGCAGCTGTTAAATAAACAGAGCTATAGAGGGTTGCTTGAACAATCTGTGAAGGCAGAACTGATGATTTGAGGATCTGGGAAGAATTTGTTTCAGCTAAAATTCAGTACATTCCTCATTATTAAAATGCAATAATGTATTTTAAATGCTATTATTCTGAGTCTAAAGCAAGATTAGGTTATTTTATCACCTCTTGCTAAGTAATACCACTTTCAGTAACACTAGATTAATAAACTTCAATTACAAAATACCTTCACCCTTCTTAAATAGCAAGATAAGGACATACAGTTTGTTTAATTTGGGCAAATTTTCTATAAATTGCATGTCTTCTATTTTTCATGAAATGCATGCTACAAGATATTGATTATATTTGACCTTTACTTAATACACATTATATAGAGCATTGCTTAGAGAAAACAGTATCGCGCTATTGAATATTAACATTTCCTTTTATTCCAGCTCAGTTTGTAATCTAATAATGGCTGATTGTTATGTGCTAAACACTAGTTGCTCTTTTATGCTTTATTAATAGAGTAGTGTATTAAAGTAGCATTATCTTAAGCAAATCTATAGGCATTTATTTCTCAGAATAAGTTTTTTTTTCTTTTGTTTGTTTGTTTTATTTTTTAAAGTTACTTCTTGGGAAAGTAAGGCTTTTGCCATGTACAGTACTAGTTTGCATGTATTAATTTAAATACTAAAAACTGTAGTACTGCTCGATCCATATCTGACTGCTAGGTTTCAATTGACAGCTGAGAATTTGTGACTGGACCATGAATCAAAACGGCAGGCATTTATACCCCAGTGCCAGTGAGGATACATTGGGAATTACTTGGCAAAGGTAACATTTTAATTATTTCCACCCCTACACCACCTCTAAAAAAGTTGCATTGAGCTATAGTGTCTGTTTTAGTGGGCCTCCAGAGGAATATGTGACAGCATTTGATCAAAACACGTGTGTTAACATTTCTCCTGTACACATTCAGGTTATCTTTAGTGTAAGCTGAATTTAGAAACAACCTTAAGCACCTGGAATGACAATGCTGTGCTGTCAAATGCAAAGGGTTTGTAAATTTAAAGGAATACCTATTGTAGGCTTTAAAAATGAGAATGTCGTTTGCAGACGTAAAGATCGTATTTTGGGGGGTTTAGTGGTTAACACAAAGAAAATGGTGCTGTTAGAAGTATAGATGAGTACAATAATAAATGTTTGAGGTGGTGGTGGTTTTGGACAATGAATAACCATACTATTCATAGAGACTTTTTTGACTAATCAGCTGGTGTAGATTTAGGTCACTAACATGTCCATGAAGGTAAGATATAAACCATTTTATTGCTCAGCTAAGTAACAGAATAATCAGGAATGATTTACACAAAAGAGTTTCTTTTTGCATGAAAAAAAGACAAAGGCAATAAACCCCTTTAAGCTGTGGTACATTAATAAATTACTCTAGGATCTTTTACATCTCTTGGTATATAATGAATTATGGTAACAGTAGAGGTGTGTGTCTCTAAATAGGTGTGTAAGCAAATCAGCATAATTGTAATACATCAGGGTTTCCCCTCTTTCATGTGCAGGATTATCCGCAACACTCAACACTTAATAGGGGTTGTACATGTAGAGCCTGTGGGTTGGGAGCCTATCAGATGAACTATTAACTACTTATTCTCAAAATAATATTAAATACTTATTGGATATTTGTGTGCACATAAAAGTGTATGTACTTCCAAATAGATTGCGTAAGTATGTGAGTGAGTATGAGTGTGTATACGTATTATGTACAAAATACCTTTTGATGCACTGTATCGTACTAAGGATTGATAGAAGATTTGGGGTTTTTGAGTATCAACTTGGAAGGGTAATTATGGAATTTGAAAATTGGTGCTGTTTACAAATCTGAAGTTTAAATGCCTTGAATATTTTTGCTTTACATTTCCTTTTTTTTTTTTTTCAATTTTTCTGAAATAATATTTAAAATCTGGAAGAATTTGTGGTGGAGAAGCAAGGTATTGTCATTCCTTCCCTTATAGATTAAATGGCACAATGGAAAATTAGCTAATGGATTCACCTCATCTCTTTAAGGGCTGTGATTCACATTATAAATCACCATCACACAGTAATTGCCACAGTTTTCAGCGTATTGCCAAGAGTGAATCCAAACTGAGCTGGTATAGCACAGAGGGGGTGATTTATTCTCCCATTGAAAAGGGTGTTGCTGTTTCAGGGCATTGACAGGCGTTAGGAAATTGTATCACAACTGTCTATCTAGTAATATCCTTGAAATGTTTTAACCGGTCATCACGAGCCCCCTTTAAAGCAATGCCAGTTTATAGCGGCTGAAGCACTGTCCCAGTGTCTGCTGAATTCTGTTTTTCAGTACCCATCACACAGGACCCTTGGGCATGAATTCTGGAAAGATAGGAAAGGGGGGAAAAAGACTTCTAGGTGATGACCAAGGAAACTTTGGTAATGAATACAAGCATGCTCCATAATCCACTTGCCTTTATAGCCAAAACTCCTTTGCAGGCTGCTCCCAGAGTGCTGCCTGCCACTTTCACCCTACCAACATATAAAAGTGCTGCCAGATGAGCTTGGCACAAATTCTGCCATGGGCATCTCTTTATCTTGGCCTTGAATTAAGCACAACCTTGGAGGACAAAGAAACAAACCGTTAGTTCTCCCTAGGTAGATGGCTTTTAGGATTTGGGCTTTGGAATACAAATCCCATGTAGGTGAGGATCTAAGAAGAGAAATGATACCTGCGCAGGCTAAGGAGCAGTGAGTCCTTCTAACACTAAAACTAACACTAAAAAAAAGAATATGTTGCAAAAGGAATTGTTGCTTGTTGGTGAAGAAATATATTCTAGTCCAGACAGTTGAATTTTATCCCACCAAATGGTTTGATGAATGCTTGATTGTGTGATTGCCTCGAATCTGCAGAGCTCATCTTGGTGGTGTTCAAGCTGACCTTTTACAGCAGGCTTTTGTGGTTATTTTTAGTATTCTGATGTTTCAGAAATATCATTGACCTCAAGAAGGTAAAAAAGTTGGCAGTGCCTCAATGTTAGCTGACCTGTCTCTACAGAAATCAGGTAGCAGAGGTGGTGACACTGAAAGCTTTGTCATGGAGCATTGTTGGTGAACCACACCTTGGAAACTTGGGGAGAGCAAATGATGATAAAACCTCTGTTATTTCTGTGTTCTTTGTCTTATTAGTAGCTGCCTGTCATATCTGATAGTAGATATGATGCATAGATTTCAAAATATGATACATAGATTTCAACACATATTTCCTGGGGTTTTTTTCCTCATAAAATTATGTATCTGCTGGCATTTAAAGTCCCAGATATAAGATAGCAGTGGTCCAAAACTTTGCAAAAAAGAGAGAATATGAATAATATAAGACAAAAAAACCTCCAGAACTACAAAACTTTAAGTCACTGATGCACCATTTCTTCAAAACCAGAAGACTTGCAACAAATAGTTACAAATAGAATAATACTTTTTTTATCTGAATGAATGAAACATTCTGGTATGTTTAAAGGAAATTCTTACATAAAACAACCTGTGAGCATCCTAAAAAAAAAAAGGGAAATAACCCAAATTATTTGGTAAGGCATTTGGAAGTAGTAATTTTTATTTTGCTCCTGGTACACTAACCATCTATAGTTTCTTATTGTTACTGTTGCTTACTTACAGGATTTATGGTATATATTTTATGGTGTCTGCTGAACTTTGGACACCGTTTAAGCACATCAACAGAATTAAGTTCTCAAGTTTTAAGACAAATTTAGGTCATTTTTTTTTGCTCCTGATGTGAAGAAGTCACTCAGACTTCATTAAGAAAAAACTTCTTTTTTCATAACCACAGTTCTGTGATAATAACTGTTTTCTTAGAAGGTGAGGGGAAGCTATGAAAACCTGTAAGGCTCAATTAGGAAAATACAGCTGCAGTTGCTATGTGAGAGCAAGAGCATACACACCAAGTAAATGTAAGACATGAGTGAGAGTGAGAAAAAGCACGTGTGTGTGGTAAGTCTGATAACATGAGCTTGAGCCTGAATCCCAGACACTCTTTACACCATTGATATTGATTCCAGTGGGGCCACTCATAAAAGCTGGCTCTTATAGAGCAGGTTGAGTATCTGCAAGTCTTTCACAGGCTGTAAGCAAATTTTCATTGCCAAAGTGTACATTTTAACTCATCTATTGCCGAATATATTTTTATTCCCAACTATTGTTATGTATATTCTTTTTTTTAAAATTTATTTTTAACAATCTTTCGGTGTTAGTTTTAGAGGTTAACTGTTACTTTAACATTGCATTTACACTACCCAGGCAAATGCAGTAGGTTAGCATTTCCTGCTTTTGCTCTGTTATCCTGACGCATAAGCATAGTACAACAGCTGGTTTGTTCCTGGAGATGCTGAGGGGAGCTCTGTTCTCAAGAGTGCCAAATTTCCTTCTCAGCTCTAGCTGTAGGGGTGTTCAGCTTTCCAAGCATCATTTTTCCCCCAGCACCACTCTGGGTTTATGATAATAATACTGGTAAGGCCATCAAATCAATAATCTCTGATTTGTGAAAGAAATAGGAGGGGGACTGAGAATGGATGCAGATTGCTTTTGTAGCACAGTACCTTGTGTGTGTTTGGTACAGAGCAAATGCATAGCTGAAGTAACACAGCAGCATTGCTGTGGCAAGCACATTTTGGCAAACACAGACACCTGTTAGAGCAATGGTTCAGAAGTATCAGTTCATCATAATTTAAGAACAAAACCACTGAAGTATCCTGATTGTAGAAGTATTCATAGAAAGAAAACCTAATGATTTCTGGTCTTTATCAATTTAAATTGCTAACTGTAATAGTTTTGCCCAACTCTGTAATGCAGAAAGATGTGCAGAACATTATGTTTCCTCTCCATCTAAGCAAACATCTTCAGAACACTTCCTAAGAAATTAATTGTATTCAAGCCAGACTTGCATGCTGCCATCCCACAGGAAATGGGTCAGCAATCCATTAAGATGCCATTAGATAATCTAATTTGGAACTTAATCTCTAAATTAACCATGCTCCATACTTGAAGCATACTTGAGAGAAAGAAAAAAAGTTTATGTTTGAATCGATAGGGGAGCTGAAGCGTGAAGAAGGCTGTTTGTTTTTTCTGTAGCTGTGGTCACGTCTCAAGCCGTCTGGTAACCAGGAGAAACCAGACATGATGTAATTCCAGATTGAACTTGAACTTCAGGGACTTAGAATGGGGGAACAATGGACCATAGGAATCAATAATGTCCATTTTCCACATGATTATGTTTGGAGCTTTAAGTTAACCTTTATGGGAGAAGCAGCAAGAACTGCAGTGTGACCAAAGTGAGTGAGATGATCCAGAAGCAAGATGTTAAAGTAATGAAAACAACTTCAGTAATATTTTCTGAGCAGCACTGCAGATTCCAGCAGGATTAGAAAAGTTCCCGCTCTGCAGTGAACTGGTTGCCTGTTCTGAGCACTCTTTGTTCGCTTAGGTAGGACAAACTTAATCTTATGTTTCCTGTCAGATGATTTTTGGCAGCACAGCTAGGGGAGGAGGGGCATATTACAGAGAATTCCCAAGCGTAAACTCTATTTTTAACCCCTTAGTTACTCCAGTTTTCTACTTCTTGATCATCTTGCCTCCAATTGTTTCTTTTGAAGCAGTAAAACTACATTGTTGGCTTTTTTTTGTGTGTGTGTGTAGTTAGGATTATTTGCATTATTATTTAGTCATGCTAATTTGATAAACTTTTAGTCATATTTTTCAAAAGTGGTAAGGTAAAAAACCTAACGATTAAAATTGGAAACGGT